TTTAAAGACTGATTCGAATTAGAAGAGACCACATGGGCTTTGGATTAGGAAGACTCATGGTTCAAACACTGTTACAGCCACCCTATTTCTGTATTCTATGGGGCAGTGTATTATTATTATTCCAGCTTCTTAGTTTCTTGTTGGTATCTTACAAGATTGTTTTATAAGATAAATGAATAATATAGGCACTTAATGACTTATACATGTATATTATGTGCACATACACATATAACCCTTATTCCTTTACAAATAAAAGCCCTTATTCTTAAACCATTCTTTCTTAACTACTTACTTGAAAATACTCTGTGAAGTTTGACTGGTCTGATTCGCATGTAACATTTGTGGGGTGACTACTTTATATCAGGTCGCGTCCTAGGTAGTATTTCTGATTATGTCTGTCATCTCATGCGTTTTTCACAACTTTAGAGGTAAACAGTTCTCCTGTCTTATGGCTGAGAAAAGGCAGGTTGCTCTCCCTTCCAGTATGTGGCAGTGTACAAAATTAGCATAGCCAGTTTTTTAACTGAAATCTTTCTTGTGATCTGGTCCAATATTCCTCATGCTTTCCCCCAGCTGCCTCAGCACAATAAACCAAGCTCAGAAGTATAGAAAACTTCTCCAAAGCACATTTTCAAAAACACATGTTTTTTGGACCAGGTTTTTAAGTTACCTTGCTGACGTGACAGCTGCTTTGCATGATGAAATAGCACATGAAAATATGGAAGCAAGACCACCGGGCAGGAGGAGAAGCCTGTCAAAGACCTCTTGAGCTGTTCGTTTCCCCCACTCATCATCCTGAAGCTTCCCTCCCTTGGCCATCTTCTCAGAGTGGTGGGAATTGGCTTCCTCTCAGAATAAACTCCCTAGTGTGGCTTCTCATTCAGTCTCAGGAACTGTTTTGCAATAAAATAACAGACAACTCCACAGCCCCCTACTCAGGGGAGTAAAGTGGAGGAGTCAAGATCCCTAGAAGTCTGGCAGGGAGGAAGAGCGGCCAGGTGTCAGAGGAGCTGGCTTGTCTGAGAAAGTCCTTAAAAGGAACAACCCAGTGCCCATCAATCCATGAGTGGATTATTAAAATTTGGTATATGTTTACAATGGAATATTACTCAATCATAAGAAACGACAGTGATCTAGCACCTCTTATACTTTCCTGGATTAAACTTAAGCCCATTATCCAAAGTGGGGCACCAAAAGAGCAGAAGAACGGGATCCATTTGTACTCACCTTCAAATTGGTACTAACTGATCAACACTAGGTTGATCACATGACAGAAATACTCTCTAGGGATTAGGGGGATGGGGGGTCAAATCTACAACTAAAGGACACGGGGAGCACTAAAGGGAGGGAAGGGCATGCCTTTAACCTGCATTCGGATGAGGCAAAGACAAAGTGTAACTATAATGTTTGTACCCTCACAAAACGCTGTAATAATAAATAATAAATAAATAAATAAAATAAAGAGCAAGCAGTGTACTTGGGCCCTGTCCTGGGCATCTCTGTCTCACCTGCGGGCCTGCTCCACCTCCTGAGAGCCTGAGGGAGGGTGTACAACAAGCCAGGGGCTTGAAGACTACCAGCTTTGTTCAGTACAGCTCGAGTCCCTCTGGCCCGGCCCGGCTGCTATTTTTCCTGTCTTTGGAGAGGAAAGCCGGCAGGTGACACTGGAAGTGATGTGTTCTCATTAGCTGGACCTGCGGGTATGTGATTATTTGCAACTCAAGTGCTTAGGGCGTAATGCTGGGATGAGGGCAGAGGCATCGTTCCAGGCATCATCCTGTGAGTCTGTTAGAGGTTACAGGCACAAGTTCCAAACAACAGTTCTATTGATGCATCTGGGAAGTTAGTTAAAAGCAGTAACAAAACCTAGGACACTGCCATTATAGACAGTACAGAGGAAAGCATTTGTACAACCTGCCTGTTCTTCTGCAAAGAACCTTTGAGTCCTCCTGGGTAATATAACCCTATGTCCGTAGGTAAAGCAATAATGCATTTGTGTATCTTTGTTCAATTTTCAGGTAAAGCAGGCAGTTGTCCAAAGTACATGCCAGAAGGAACTGTGTCAGATGTAGAGTCTGTACACCTACAGGGCAACTGCTTGGATTGCAGATATATAACTTATTCCCTCCTGTGGGCTGTTACAGTTAGGATATTAGTCTGTGTCTCCTGTTAAATCATGGATAGAGCTATTTTATGTGACTGCTGTTACACAGAATGGTTTAAGTGTGAGACCAGTTGGGAGAAAGAAAAGAAAATGTTGATATTGGGCAGTTTTATGAGAATGTAAATCAAATCCAAAGTTTGAGATCCAAAAGAAGTAAATTATTTATGGTATGAATTAACTTTGGTTCATTGTTCCTGATTCAACCTGCATGAATAGTTCAATTCTTCCGTTATGTTTTATTTGCCAACAATAAAATAAGTGATATATAGCGTGACTTTAAATTCTTAGTTACTTATGAATTGGAATGAATGTTTAAAAACCGAAAGATTTTCACAATTATGCTATTGGTCAATTTGTGTGGGCTGAATAACAGTTATCCCTGTTGTGATCACTTATTAATAAAGTGATAAAGAAAAAATAAGACACCAGTTAATGAAAGTATGGTTTATTTTGGTCAATGATAGTTCTTGGGTATACTTCTTTAACTTGAACTTCACTGAAAAAATACCTAAGAATACGTTTTCTTCAAAACCATAGTTAGTTTCAATGAAAGGCCTTTCGTTTTTACTCAATGTCAACAGTATAAATTTGAAAGACTTCTGATGGGAAAAAAAAGAAAGCCCTCTTGTGTATACAGTTTAACTAATCAGTTATGGACAATCTGATTCTAGTCATTTACTGCTTGTGGTGTGAATGTCTTCTAATCAAAAGTTGATGACAGCCTGTGTTTTAATTTTCTATGAGACTTACTGGTAGCCAACTGTCATTAAAGATGTACTATTTTGTCAGTATTGAATCAAGAAACAATTAAGCTCCATGAAAACATTCTTATTTTATAATCTGTTCCACTATACAAGACAGGGAAACAAGTACAAATAGTTTTGGCATCACCAGAAATAAATTTGTTACCATGGGAAAAGAGAGTGAACATGTGTCCCTCAGTCTTTGGTTGAATGTGAGAATTACCATGATGATTAGGCATTTATCACACCGGGTTATAACTGTGTTCTTGCCAACCTGCTACTCATTATCACTCTTTGAAGTCAAGAACCAGGGCTCAGTCATCTAGCTTTACAAGTGGATACTTAGAAAATTTATATTGAAGAAATGAAGGAAGAAATGAATGAACCAGGAATACCTTATATCTAGGATAGTTAGATATTCTGACTTGCTCTTTAATGCTGTCAGTTTCAGTTATCACACTGAATGTTTACAGTTTATGTATTGGCTGAAAAATACTACCTACTTTACCTGTCCACCTTAATTTTATCAACATCAGCTATGTGGGTACATAGCTTCAATGTTATGTTGAAGTTTAGTAGGTAATTCTGTGTCAAGCATTTTGAAATCTGCAGATGAAATAGAAATCTTAGCACAAATACATATAGAAATGATGAATGGTTATCTGGAGAAAATGCCAGATCCTTGAAATACAAGGGATATATTATGGGTTTTACATGCAGCCCTTAGCTGGGATCGTGTTATATGCCTATTGATAAACCGTCACTGAAAAGGAATGGAATTGCCAGGATTGGCTTAGACCTGGGCAGGTGGGAGGGGGTGGAGGGGATGGGTAAATTCACACCTAACTGGTGCCATGCGCACTGTCTGGGAGTTGGGCACACTTGTAGCTTTGACTCGGGTGGTGCAAAGGCAATTTATGTAACGAAAGCATTTGTACCCCTGTTATATTCTGAAATAATAATACATTTTTAAAAAGAAACAAACCGGAACAAAACAAAAAATAAAAGATTCACTGCCTTGGGCTGAGGAGGGACCCAGCTTGCCCTGCTGCCCCAAGCTGTCTGATACTTGAAGAAAATTAGGGTTGTTAATATATTACTAAGAATTATATTTGGTTGTATATTGGAAACTCAAAATAATGGTGACTCTTTTATTTCTTTCTCACATAGAAGTTCCGTAGATAACATAGCTCCATGGCATCATCAGAACAAGGCTTGTCCGATTTTTCTGCCCAGATACACTTAATATGTAACTTCCATTGTCAAGGTAGCTGCTGCAGCTCCAGCCATAACTGTAATTTCATGTCCCAGACAGGAAAAGGAAAAAGAAGGGTGAGGCCCCTTCTTCTTAAAGACTTCCTATAAATCCCAGAAAATAGTTTACTTCTATCTTATTGGCCAAAACTTTGTCACATGGGGATACTTAGCTACAAGAGAGGCTGGGAAATGTAGTTAAATGTGCCCAGCCAAAAAAACTGGAGTTTGTGACTCAGGAAGACGAGGAAAATGGATGCTGGAGTATACAACTACCAGATTCTGTTACAGGTAGCAATGACAACAGGATGGCATAAGGAAGACGCTGAGGTTGGAAGCAGGGCATATAGGACACAGTGCGTTGTCCCCATTCTCAACCATTCAGCCTATCTCTATTGCAAGTAATTTTTAGCACTGAAATAGACAGCAAAGGGATAGGAAGGAGAGGCAAAGGACATTGTAAATCAGCAAACTGTAGAAATTGTGTACAGATAATTAGGATCGTGTTTTGTACTATATCATTTTTTAGACTTCTTGGAGTACTTTACATATGAAAGGATATTATTTTTCCAAATATGGAAATGTGAAAGTCAAGGTATGAATGATCTTTCAAGCCTAACCGTCTTAATTAGCAACAAGGTCACCTTTGGAAAAAGCAAAATATTACCAAGAAGGATAGGCTTATTATGAAAAGAATACAATCCTCTGGAAGTGAAGGAAAAAGGCAAATGAGTTGCTAATTAGCTACAATAAGCTGTGGGAAACTTATGGGTACATTAGAGTCTGTACATATAAAGTCTCGTTATTATTAATGGCAACTTTTTTCTTTATTTTTTAAGGTAGCCAATCAAGTTGTTCAAGCTCTGCTCACTCAAAAGGTAGGTCACTTTCTGGCTTTGGTCTTTTCAGGGTACTCATGACTAATTGGAAGTCATGTTGTCAAACTCAGAAATTGTGATTTGATAGATGCAATACTTTTGTATTTATTCACTTAGGTTAAAACTGTGGTTTTAGATGGCATATGAAGTAACATCAATGACCGATAGAATCATAAAATTCAAACTCTTGATAAAGTAATAGTCTTGTGTACATGAAATATTTCCATGTACCCAGAAGAATAGCCAACGTATCGTTTTTATTTAGGAAATTACAAACTTTAAATAAGTTGGTGGATTCTTCCAATTCCCATAAAATGAATATCCTCTTTTCAACAGCATTAACAGAAGCCTAAAATTCATCAAGAGATCTTTGGGGTTAGAGAAGTTATTTAATTTCTCTGAGCTTTAGTTCCTCTTCTTCAAAGTGGGGATAGCAATTCCCACCTCCCACGATTGCTGTGGTGATCCTGTGAGAGGAAGCATCTAGAGCAGTTCCCATAGCAGTTTGTGGTAATTATAAAATAAATGGTAACTACTGCACGTGAAATTTCTGTACCTACTCCTCTGTTACGTCCCTATTCTGCCTTCAGACGACAGAAGATCACATCTTGGGAGCACGCAGGGTAAATGCAGGTCATCGTTTGCCCAAATTTGGCTTGTTTGGTAAATTTTACTGCATGTTTCCCATTTCTTGCCATAATGTTTCTGAGAATCTAAATTCTATTAATAATTCCCTCAGATTTTGTTTATTTTGATTTCTTTCCCTGTGAAATGGAGACTCCTTCTCCAAAAGGAACTGTTAGATCATGCAGAATATTCAGGAGGTTGTGACTAACGAGAGCAAAATAATTTATGCCATTTTGACTTTCTTAATTGAAAATAATTTTATTAGAGGTTGGCTGCTTCTCATGCACGTAAATAGATATTATCATTAATTTATACTATACAAGCATTGTGATAATATATTTGCTAGATTTCCTCCCCTACTACTGCTATCAAAATGTCATGCTTCCTTCTGCAAATAATTTTAACTGCTTCATATTTTACACTAACATGACATAAATAAAGAGATTTGAGTTCACTTATGTGAGTTAGAATTAGGTTCCATCATGAGTGACAGAGATCCAAAATGGGGGTTGCTTAAATAAGCTAAAATGTTAGTTCTTTCTCCAATATAAATCAGCAAGTAGGCAGTACAGGACTGGTATGGTAGCTCTGTTCATAAAGTTTAGAGTCCCTGGCTTCTATTTTGTTGTTCAATGTAATGTGGTCCCCATTTCCAAGGTTACCTCATGGTCCAAAATGATTGCTCTAGCTCTGATCATCACATCCACATTCCAGCCATCAGGAAGGAAAAATGCTGAAGAATATGAAGAGGGTAAAGGGTATATACACCAGCTGTCTTTCAAGGGAGACTTCCCAAAGCTATCATACATCCCTACCTACAACTTGAACAGACCTTAGTCATACAGCCACACCTAATGAAACTGGCAAGGAAGTCTTTGTTCTGTGTGTGCCCAGCTGAAAATTGATTGTCATATCACTGTGGAAGAAGGTGAGAAACAGATATTGGAGGCAACTTGCAATTTCTGCTGCAACATTTTCGAATGCCTTTTCTTTTTCAAAGGCTTTAATTTCTCACTTGTTTTCCTCCTGTTGGAAAGTCTGTGCTCATTTAATTATAAATCTAAGGAATGAAGGCAGTGCATTGTAGCTCTGTGTGCAACTATTGAAAGACTTCTCAAGCCTGTCTCTTTTAATGGTACCTCAGGAAAGAGACAAGGAAGCCATCTAGTACAATAAAAAGGAAAACAGGAACCCTTCAGGTCAGCCACAAAAAACAGCTACACAAATCCAAGTAATAACTAGTAAACAGATAAATCCACCTTGGTACAGCTAAGCAGTGGGACACAGAAACACGTGCCACTGTGAGATACCATGCCTCAGGGATGCCACGAGGCAGGAAGAGAAGCTGGGGGCTTTCGGAGACTCCAGAAGAATCATGTTCTGCAGAAATGTGTGCCTTCCAGTTTTTATAGGGACTGTAAATTGCTGCAAAAAGACTAAAATTTCTTTTTAATTAAGAGTACAATATAGGAAATAAAATGTACTCCAAATGCAAATGAGAAAACAAATTCTAAAGAGGAAACGTCAATGCCACAGAGTAAAAACAGAAATCTTCAGTGATTTATTCGAGTCACAAAAAAATCCTTGAGGTGAAATTACAGGCATAACTGTGCAGTTTTAGAATATATCATTTGTTATGACACAAAAGCAAATCCGCCGTGGCTTCAGCTCTTCACTGGGCAACCAAAGACGCATTTCTCATGACATAACACGAATCGGCCCAGACAGGCATCCGGGAGTAACAGAGTCTACCAATACTGATGGAAAATAATTTATTTCCATAAACTTACCAGCTTCTGTTAAATGTACATATACCGTCCTAAGTCAACTAATTCAGTTTATCTCAAAAACCTGTGGATTCCCTTAAGAGAGCAGACTGCACCCCTTTAGATCAATAATGCTAAAGTGACAATATTAAACCCAACTCTCTTCCCTTACGCCTCCAAATCATAGGTCCAAGTCTACAAGTGCAAGTGAAATCAGTAATCCAGGCTAAACTTATAGTTTCGTCTGACATATATTTTATCTTTATTAAGTCAGTTACATTTGCCGACAGTTTAACTCTCCTAGGTTTGTCAGTGTTTTTTGTTCTGTTTTGTTTTGTTTGCCCCTAACACCAAACCTGAAAGGAAAGCATTTTCCCTGCAACTATTTTCTCCACATCAACAATCTCAGTCTTATCTACATGTTCTTTGGAATAACTAAATATTTATATTTAGTATTTTTTCTTCACCTTCATGGAATAAGGCTGGTATATGGTGGAGTCCAACAGTGCAGCCATTCAGGTAGAAGCAGAAAATAATTTTATAGCTTGTAGCTGAAAGAACTCCAAACCCCTACATATTTCCCTTGTAGGAGGGGCAGTGGGACCATCTTTGTCCCCTTCTGTCACAATGTTCTATCTGTCATCTGGTTCCTGAAGAGGGTTTACAGTTACCGGGCACTTATAAGCAGTCAGACCCCACGTCCAGCACTTTAAATGCACTAAGTCATTTTGCTCTCACTGTAGCCCTGTAAGTTAGGACTAAGAAAATAATTTGCGCGTAAGTCCAATTGCTAGGCAGCGGCAGAGCCCGTGCCGTGACCTACAGTTGCTGCACTGCGAGCCCCGTGCTCTGACCCACTGCCCCATTCTGCCTCTTCGATCCCACTCAGGCACTTACTGTTTTCTCCGCTGTAATTGAGTAGGACAGAGAGAGATGCCATGAACATCAACAGATAGATTGAAATCTAATGGTTAGATACGCTTGCAGGGAATAAAACAAAAGGGCAAGGTAGCCAAGGGACTTGTTAAAACTTCTGGAAGCACTGCTGGTCTCTAGCAAGAAGAGCATTCAGGTTCTGACGTGTGTGGAGTGAAACTGACTCTAAATTTGGAGTCAAGCTTTCTCAGAATCAATCTTATTTCGAACCCTGGAATTTCACAATTGCCAGGGAACTTAGAAGCATTTAATCCTGAGATTATCAACTAGCTTTGGTAATGGGCTCAGTTCACCGAAATTTCATAAACTGTTTAGCCATCACCCAGATTAAAAATGATTTGATCTAAAGGCCTTGAAGAGGAAGGCTTACGGTGTACGGTTTGCCACAGGACTCGCCGCTTCCTGTGCATTACCCCGATTCAGTCACACATTTATGTCACCTGGCTTGCCTTTTAGATATTCGATGTTAAAACCCTTGGTCAGTCTGAGACATGACCAGCCTTTTCCAGAAATGGCTTTTCTTTTTACAAAAGTCTTAGCATTTACGGCAGAGATAGGCATGTATCAGTGAAAGCCACTGAGAAGGGATATGACCAGAAGAGCCTGTGCAACTTCAGGGAAAGCACAAGGTGGCACCTGGCAAGCCATCCCACGAAGCAGCTGAGACATCACTCTCCTGAAAAGCCCCGTTTGTACAGTGCTTCAGTTTACGGATGAATAAACTGAGGCCTAATCAGAATAAACCACTTCTTCAAGGTCATGTGGATAATGAGGACCAGAACCCAGGCCCTCCGACCCCAAATCCGGTGTATTCCTATGATAGACACTGCCTCTGAGATAGGCATACCACTATAATACCGTTTTTACAGGCTAAAATCAGATTTAAGTAGTTTTCAACAATACCCCAGTGGTAATGTCAGTATATGTCCTGCTTCTAAGCAATCGGTACTTTCTTAAATTTACTTCGGCCTGGAGCTAATAATGGTTTTACTCTTAAGTGCATAAAGTAACTGAACTCCCATAGGTACTGTATAGCAGTGTATCCAGAATCTTCTTCAGCCCAAGTACCAGGTGTGCAGATCCTCCAGGGAAATTGTGGTTTGGGATCATTACGATGGCCAGGGACCCTTTAGACCAGTGTGTCACTTTGCTCGGTGTATTTTGCTCTTACCTTTACCTATAACCCCTCAGTCTCTGCTTCTAAATAATAGTGACACTCACACTGCAAGAAAAGCAGGTCTGGCTGTATTCTTGAACCTAACACCACCGTGCTTTATTTTAAACAGGAGATCAAATGTAGTCAAATCTTTGGCATTATCTCCCCATGATAAAATTATACATCGTGCCCCGTTTTCCATATCAGAAAGCAAAACCCTATACTTTTGACGAGGTCCTTTTCTTGAGGCCTGAGACCTACTAGGAAGGCATAGAAGAAGAAGAAACATTGTGAGAGAGGACGGCGCAGGCCCTCCCTTGAGCTGTGGTCCCAGACTATGGCATCTGCACAGGGGAGAGTTCTTTCCATTCTAAAGCCTTACCTGGGGGCACTATCTAAGTCTTGCCTCTGTAACTGATAGGGTCAGAAGAGCTGCTCTTGTACCCAGGCTAGATGTGTCATGTGCTCCTTTATGTTAGTGGGTTCCTGTCGTGAGCACAGAGGAAGCTAAGACAGTTGCTGCCCCATCTGCCCAGTAACCACAGTAGTGTTCAAAGAAACAGTTGTTTCTCTCTCTGTCTGTCTGTCCACTCTGGTTGTGTCTATTTTTGATTACAGTACCTTGGGACGCTGTCTGGCATCAGGTACTATCCACAGCTTGACGGAAGAAATAAAGATATTAAAAACAATGCAAGCAATTCTTTTCTATCTACAGAGCTCAGACCAGCTCATTTCTGTTTGTCAGTGATTGTAAGACCAACAGTGTCATATTCCTGAAGCCTCCCCTCTCCCCCTCTGCCATGTGCTGAGCTGGACGAGCCAACTGTGATGAACAGGGAGTTCTCAGGGTCAATAAATTGTGTTCCCACTGTTGAACTTTTACCATGCCCTAAGTAATATTAATAGCAACAGCCATTGAAATTTGGGCACTTTTCATAACTCTCTAGAGTATATTGATTTTTTTTCTTTCATTCTTTCTTTTTATTTTATTTATGCAGTTACTCTCAGTTTTGCTGCTAAAAATCGTGGCTACTGTTGCTTTCAGGTCCCCTTGCCCTTTGCAAATCCACACTTGTATGCCTCTGTTTCCGTATCTCCACCTTGCAAATGAGAATGATTGTATTTTCCCACCCAATAGGTACTATTAATATTTATCTACCTCACAGTCAAGTTTTATTAATTACTTAATTAGCAGTACTGAAAACAATTAGTGTTTGGGAGCCAAGAGTGTTATATACATGCTAAGAACAAAAATTAGCATAAGTGAGACAAAGACAGAAGTTGAATTCTAAATAAAGAAAACAAATTCAGCATTTTAATTTGAGCAGTGAGTAGGCCCTACAGTGGCCGCTGCCAAGAGCCATGTGTGCCCACAAGTATAAATGCACCTCCCTGCTTCTACTCTCCCGCCTCTTGTACCTATGTACATGAGGTACCTATGTCATTCTGAACATGACATTTGTAGGGACAAATCAGTTGAAAACATCCTACGCATAAGCTTTACCTATTTAATTTAAAAAGGTGAAGGGAGTAAAAACTGTGCAGTGGGCCACACATTGACCTGTTTCTTTGCCCTAATTAAACAGAATTAATACTAATCTACTGGATATAATCATGCACGCTCAAGTAATGCCTCAGAAGCCAGATCTCTCTAGCTTCAAAGTAAGATTGATACAAGGTTATGGAACAGCCCACTCCTCTCTGTGACTGCTGTTTAGACGCTGAGGGTCAGAACTGTTGACCAATGCTCTCCCTTGCCCGCAGAGCCTTAAATAAAGCCAATAGCATCCCCATGTCAGAATACATAGATGTACAAACCAGAAGTGTTGGGAAATTTAAACTCTCTATATTTCACCCATCACTAGAGAATAGAATTTGTCATCATGCTCTCCTGCAGCAAAAGAATTGCAAATGCTTATTAAGCTTCTACGATATGTGGCACTGTGCTAGGTGATGGAATAAAAAAGAATATAAGGGCAATATGCATGTGTGGTTGTTTATTTCAGTATCTTCTTGTGCTTGCCTGATGAGAAACATGCCATGTAATTGACAGCATAAATCTAGAACACACAAGATAAAATGAATACAAAGTAGTATATGGTAAATGTCATAGAGGACGCATTGAGGGCTGATTGGTGTTCAGAAAAGGAAGCAATCCTTGGAGGATGCCAGGTAAAGTGTCATCAGAGAGGTGATACAGTTTGAATTGGATGTCAATCAAAGTGCCAAAGGGGGACTGGAATAGGAGATGGAAAAAAAAGGACAAGCGATAGTGGGGGATGGAAGAGGATGGCAGGACTGCAGAGAGCTTTCAAGAACAAGCCCGACCTTTATTCTTTGCATAGTGAGAACAGAAGACTTAAAAAAAAAAAAAAACCACCTCAAGAAATAGTGAAAGATAAAGTTTGAAATGTAGAAAAGGGTCAGCTTTTGAAGAACCTTGAATTTGGGCTTTGTTCTACTGGATCTTGAAGCCCCATCAAAGGGGATGTAGACATTTAAGTACCACAAGTACCTTTTACACGGTCAGTTTGGAAGGCCGTTCCCATGGGTCAGTTCCCTCCTATGTGCTGGAGAAAGGTCTCTGTGGTGTTTGAACTATTCAAAAGAGCTGCTCCAAAAGGATGCCAGGGTGGGGTTACTGTGCTTCTTCCCCAGAACTGAGACCCAAATGCCCAGAAGATATGGAAATCCACTGGTTCAGAGGATGTGCAAGTTACCACTGGCCTCTTAAAAACCTTAACTTCATAGTTACTTTTCTCCCACTAAATGCATCACTGACTTTGTTAGCCACAGAGCCGAGAATTTCAACTCGTTTCCGCAAATGACAATGAAAGTCTCCATCAAACGTGATAGTTTCTTTAGTTCATCAAATCTCTATTCACAGCAAAAACGTTGTTCTTGTGGTTTGTGCTTTACGATTGCTTTTGTGAAGACAGTGAAAAGGCAAAATATATAGGTGGAAACTTAAATTGACTTTATATCGCTAAGATTTATTATCTTCAGAAATAGCATGCTAGACTAATGCATTTCTGATTTCAAGGTGTTTCTTTTTAAAAAAATTGGTCTTCCTTGCACATAATAATTCTATCAGACCATGGTCTGTGGAAGAAAACGCACTGTGTGTGATTCATTTCTGGGACCTTTGAAGAATAAAAATACTGTTTTTTACTAATGTGTCTGAAATATTATATATAATGTGGTGATAATATGCAAAAACATCTTTCAGTTACAGACTTTTGCCCCTTTATTGTGTTTGTTGTAGGATCTAAGGGAGGAATGTGTAAAGTTGAAAACAAGGGTGTTTGATTTGGAACAACAAAATCGAACATTAAGCATCCTATTCCAGCAGCGTGTCAGACCGACTTCTGATCTGCTCCTGCAGGTATGTGTTTATCTGGAAAACTGTCTTTGTCCTGAAATGTTATTGATAGGAAATTACTTAAATGCAGACGTTACCAACATCTTCATGGGCAAAGACATTGCATCAGAACCCCAATTTTTTCTTCTCTCAAGATATGAGAGAAGTTCTCAAAAATGTTCATAAAAATGAACATCTCTTAAATTCTTGACTTCTTAAAACTACGTGCAGATAAGGAAATGCACCAACAAAGAATAACTAGGTAAAAGGGACAATCAAAAGAGTCCTCCAGTAAACTAAGTGGAACAATGGAGTGGAGTTAGGAAATAATTGATTGCTTTGGGGACTGGTATTAGTAATCTTGCATTCTGTGATAAGCAAGGAAGAGTTTTATGTAATGCCAAAGCACATTTCCTTATTTCAAGCCCTTTATTAATCAAAAATACAGCTGGGGTTTGTTTTTCTTTCATATCTCTCTCTTTGCAGAGTTTCTCCTCAAAACACATTTCTTATATTCTGTCTCAGTATTTTTACAGGTTGTCTTTGTCTAAGTGCTCTCACTGAACTCTATTTTTACTTGCCTTCGTAACATGGAAAGTTGTGGAAAGTCAAACCATTTGAATCATTTTGAAGCTGTTCGTGACAAAGCACTAGAGAATATGTCCCACTGCAGGGAAACACATGAATTGGTAGAGGGGGCTGGAGGGCTGATCTTTGCTGTTTCCGATTTTTTTTTCCTGATCCGATTATGGTGTATATTTGCTCAAACAAGCTCCCATGAACTTTGCTTGGAGTCCCTCTGAGGCTGAGCTGTCAAAGGCTGCACTGAGGTTTCACAGGGACAGTGTTCAATGTACAAAGGGTAACCTACCACTGCTTGGTCTAATTGGCTAAGAGGAAGGTTCTTCTCCAAACTCTGATCATCTAGACTACACTGTCAGCACTGTAACCACTAGCGATGTAGAACTATTAAAATTTTAATTTTAAAAAATTTAAATTAAGTTCTATGTCCAGCTAGCCACATTTCAAGTGTTCAAAAGCCACATGTGGCCAGCAGCTTCTGTGTTGGACAGTGTGTAAGTAGAACATTCCCATCATTGTAGAAATCTGTACTGGACAGTATTTTTTCCAAATGGTCAAGACTGCATTGCTAATTTACCCTCTGAATTTTGGCATAAACATCTTAGGAGTCCTTAGAGAAATAATGGGAAATTGCAATTCATTTCAGAGAAAGAAAGATGTTTGGTAAAGCTGAACATCAAAATGTAATTTTCCCCCCAAATTAAAATAAAACAGCTCTCTGAATTACAAAATAGATCTCATCTCAAATTAATTTCCTCTCTGCTTTATCTGTTGGAACATAATTCATAATTTATGACTCAAAAATTGTGTATAGGGGGAGTCATCTATCTCTCTTTTGTTTCCTGATCTTGACCACCAAAAATGTTTGTCATAGGGGATTTTGCATTCATGAAAAGTTGTGTTGCTTTTGCAATCTCATAATCAAAATCCAATATTATAAGTACTTTTAAAAGTTGTTGCATGTTCGTGAATTTTTCTCTTTTGCCTATTTTAACTTGAGGATTTTCTGGAACAATGTTTAAGAATCTGCATTCCCTGTTTATGAATCATGATAATTTATTTGCACAGTAAACACACGTGCTGTAGATATTTAAGCTTTTCCATTGGCTGTCACGAATTTCTTAAACCATACCCAAATGGCAGGGGATGATGTGTATGCTAGCAATAGAACTCAGTGTTTATGCATTAAGTGTTTTTAGCCAACATACTTTATATTCCTCCCCAAACTGTCCTCACTTCCAGGAGCTATTCTAATTTAAATAATATTTATAAAAGATGGGCTGTTAATAGTTCTGTGAAGAAGAATGATAAAAAATGTGATGCCTGCCCTCTAACATCTTAGAGCTCACAATCACAGGAAGTTGCTGACTTCCCAAGTAGTCTGTTAATTATTTCACTCATGACTTTTCATTTTCTGGTGGTACTTTTGGATTTAATTAAGAAACAAAGACATACCATGGAGCTAAATAAAAGCAGTCTGAGCTTGCTTTACACCTGTGGATGCTTAGTAATTGTTGAATGGAATAATAAATAAATGATAAATTCATTCTTCAAGTTGGGGAGTTATTTTGCATAAACCTAGAAGAAGTTTATGCCCCCACCTCTTTTTATAAAATTTTCCCGTCTTATATGGATTCTTGGGCAGTATGCAGCCATGTGGGTCCAACCCAGTCTGTGTAAGGATGCGGCAGGTGAATGCAGCAAATCTATCAGTGTGCACTTGGTCCCAAATATTATAGACCCTATAGTGCCTGCCCGTGTACTGCAGATTGAGTACAGCAGATTTCTAAGTAGTTTTCTGCATGTCTTAGAAAGCTGCATTAGTTGTCATCTGCTGAATACAGCCTAATGATTGTCTACAACCTAAAGTAGCCACTTGGAGAGAAATATAGAAAGAAGTGTTTTAAACACATTGTGATTTGGACAGATAAATTGTAAATAGTAGAAAATATATGAATAGTCAACTCTTTGTCCCTTAAACGTAGGAAATAAGAGGTTACAATGAATGTAATTTAGCAAATCCTTGTATGGGAGAAACAGAAAAGAATTCACTCTAAGGACTAATTGACAGATTCTGGTAAACTTACAGAAGGAGGCATGCCCATGATGGACAAGAAGAAAGGCCTAACCTCAAAATTAAAATCTTAAGATACACAACAAACTTCTCTATTGATTCCAATTCCTAGAATGATATCTCTGGGACTATGGATGATAACAAACCAGATTTAAAAGACCTCCTTTATTAAAATCAATAATTAGAGCTAAATTCCAAAGAACTAAGAAGCCAGTTTAGCAAATGAAATCCAAAAGTAATGCTCTTACAGGGACTGGAGTCTCTAACTAATCACATTTGAACCTACTTAGCCAGATTAACCAATGCTCACCATTTCCTCTTGTAAATCACACGGAACAGCACCCTCAACAGTGAATGGGTGTTGTTCAGCCTCAACATAGAATGTTGGCAGCTAGCAAAGAGCTCTCTGCTAAGTGTATTTGGTAGAGAGAGATGGTGAGTTGCTGCTCACCAAAAATGAGTTATGCTTGTAACTTAGTAGGTTCACTCAAGTAGTACTTGTAATGGTAATTATATAATTAAAACAATTTTAATCAATTTTATATGTATCATATAAACCAATGTACTATGATGTAAAAAGAGACTTGTTTCTATGAAACAAATTTGGATGTTTCAAAAGCTTCTATAAAGGTAAGTGGCTAAAAAAGAGTTTGCGATCAAATTAAAATAGGTGTCTAACTATAAAAAAATTGTGGGAAACCAGGGATTGTATTAAATGTTGAGGGATTCTACATGCGAACTGCTCTTCATATGGTTTTAAATTCTTGTTCCAGGACTTTTACGTTTTGGGAGGTTTTTGATTGCTGCTCCAATTTCTGAGCTTGAGGTTGGTCTATTCAGATAGTCTGTTACCTCCTGGGTGAACTTAGGGAGGTATGTTTCCAGAAATTTGTCCATTTCCTCCTCGTTATATAGTTTTTGGGCATATAGGTTTTTATAGTAATCAAAAATAATGTTTTGTATTTCCGTGGTGTCTATTGTGACCTCTCCTTTTTCATTTTTGATTGAGTTTATTAGAGACCTTTCCCTTTGGATTCTAGTCAATCTAGCAAGAGGGGTGTCAAATTTGTTTATCTTTTCGAAAAACCAGCTTTTGGTTTTGTTGATCTTCCATATAGTTCTCTTGTTCTCAATTTCGTTTAGTTCTGCTTTGATCTTAGTCATTTCTTTTCTCCTACTTGGATTGGGATTGGTTTGCACTTCCTTTTCCAAGTCCTTGATTCTATTTATTAGGTTGTCAATTTCTAAACTTTCTGTTTTTTGGATATAAGCATTTATTGCTATGAGTTTTCCTCTCAGGAATGCTTTTGCTGTATCCCACAGATTTTGATAGCTTGTTTCTCCGTTATCATTTAGTTCGAAGAAGTTCTTGATTTCCCTCTGTATTTCCTCCTTGACCCAGTAGTTAGTCAAAAACAGAGATACCATTTGATCCAGCAATAGCACTATTAGGCATCTACCCAAGAGAGCACAAAACATTCTATGATAAAGACATCTGCACCCGAATGTTTATGGCAGCACAATTCACTGTTGCAAGGATGTGGAAACAACCCAAGTGCCCGTCAATCCATGAGTGGATTATTAAAATTTGGTATATGTATACAATGGAATATTAATCATAAGAAACAACAGTGATCTAGAACCTCTTATACTTTCCTGAATTAAACTGTTAAGCCCATTATCCAAAGTGAGGCACCGCAAGATCGGAAGAATGGGCTCCACTTGTACTCGCCATCAAATTGGTACTGATCGACACTAGGGTGATCACATGGCAGTAATACTCTTCAGGGACTAGGGGGATGTGGGGGATGAACCCACAACTAAAGGACACGGGGAGCATTGTAGGGGGGAATGGCATGCCTTTAACCCTCATTTGAGTGAGGCAAAGATATAAAGTGTAACCATAATGTTTGTACCCTCATAATACCCTGAAATAAAAAATAAAGAAAATTTCTTGTTCCATTGTAAAGAAAAAGAAAAATTAGGAATCATAGACAATGCATGAAGTGTGTATTTGATGTCCCCCCGAAAAAAAGATAATAAAAGATTCCAGTAACAAGATCTTTAGGCAAAGAAGCAGCGTTGGCCCTACCAAAATGTTATTTAACAAATGTGTAGTTCTTCCCATATATAAAATACTATTTTACAACTTTTACAGCATTCACCAATTCAATCTCTGTTACAGTTCTATGGGGTAGGACCTATTGCTACATCCATTTTACTAATAGGGACATTTTGGTATAGAGAGCCTAAGTCACATAGCTGGAATTTGGCAGAGCAAGGATTTAAATCTGAAAAGGTAGTGACATTGAGTCCCCCCTTTCACCTCCATTCAGTGCTCCCTCTGCATGGAGCATGAATGGGCACA